ACGATTTCAAATTTTTGGTTTCGAAGATACGCTCACTACTGCCAAAGTGCCGCTTACAATTGGTAAGCGGAAGCGGAATGGGTAACAGTCTTCCTTCGCCGCGAATGAAGGGGGCGTGCCAGGCGGGATGGGTTTGGCGCGGAGCTAAGCCCGTTTTCTGCCTGTGTTGAAGCGAGCAAGCGAAAAGTTTGTATCATGTCATCGTATCAGTTTCTCCATCAACTGTTGTGCTAACCCGCTTCAAAAACAGGTGGGGTTTGGCGCCGCGCCAAACGCGCCCGGCTGAAACACCTTTTGCCGGCAATGTAGAAAACTCTAGATGTCTTCGGGTCACGTTTCCTTCTTCCGCTAGCCTGCAGCTGAAACTGGAGGAAAACGTTACTGATTATTGTGTCCTAATTCCCGAACGACCTTCTTCGCCTCAGAAGGGAGGCTGCATAACCACATTGGGTGAACATTCGCTCAACGCGTCGCGTACACAGCTTATTCTACTCAATAGTGGGTAGCATTCGACCCCTTCTCATCAGGACTCTTCTCATCTGTATGGTGTTCACCTCACCTCTATTGTTGCCTAACAGCTTTTTGCTAGTAACTTCTGTTTTGATTTTTGTCTGTAATATTAACTGAACAAATAACTTTATAAACTGTTAATACATATTTACATCTATCGAGTTGGGCAAAGAAGTGATGCTATCGCTCTATCTTCTGGAATATCTTCGACGTATTTGGTAGCGATGTCTTCAAATCTTTAAGGCATTTATCGAGATCGAGGTACTGCAGAGCCAGACGAGACGTCACTGCGAAGCTTCCTTCTCCTGCAATTGCGTTGGTGAGAAATTCGTCAAATTTCTTTAGGACTGGGAACTTTCAAAACTGGAGGACGTACCTATTTCAAGACTGATCTCATTTGGATCCACACCACAGGCACGAGAGATCCGTACTCCTTTTCCGTAACTGAGTTCTTCAATGGCGTTCTTGATCTCAGGCCACAGCATGTCCATGATCATTCCTGGAAAATAACTCACATAACAGAATTATGCATACATTCTGTATCCATGAGACGGATGGGCGTAAATGCATACTCAGAAGCGGTCCCGAAGAAAGTGGTATTTCCTGCCAACAAAAAATTCGCTGTTTGCATTTCAAACCTAGTTGCACACAACTAATGAAAATGAAACATGAAGAAGCGAATAGATGCCGCAATTAGCAGGAATCCTCAAAACCGCTGCCACGCGTGGCACTGCGTGCGCAATTACGTACCGTCTCACCGCGAGATACAGAGCGTATTTCGGATGGTAAGTGCATATTCTCACCTCTCATGAGATCTTGCATGAAAATTCCCCATGATTTTGGAAATGCACCAACTTCCATTTCGATATTAGTGTCCAGAAGTTGAACAAGAGTCCTACAATTAGAAATGTTAACGTGCCTCTTCAAGAAAGCCTCTAAAGATATCACCTAAGGTACTCAAACTGGGAACCGGAAAGCACTAGGCTCACTATCAGTAGTTACATTACTATTTGGAGGAACTGTAGCATAAGAAAAATCATCCAGATATTTCAAAAAAGTGGTCCGAAAGATGAAGGAGTATGGGGAGAGGGTAGGGAGCAAGAAGTTTGTCCAGCTCTTGCTTCCGTTTCGCGCGTGCTTTAGACGAAAGTCGAGCAGAATCCCCTCATAAGCTTTCGAAGACATGCTACACGAAGCTCTGGATGTTTACGAGTTTTTGAGGCTTTTTAGGCAGTGATGACCCTAATGAACTACTGTAGCCAGTCATGAGCTTCCGAAGGTGTGCTCAAAAAAGCCCTTGATCTTTCCAAAGTATTCAAGATTATTTATGCCGTGAGCTTAACGAGACTATTCAGGGTACAACAACGGGAGAAACCCATCAGAGATTTGCACCGTAGAAGAGCCTGTCATTCCTTGTGAGCTCATGAAATTGCTGTGTGGTCAGTAGCAAAGTGCAAACTGCCCCCCCCCACCGTCGCCGAAATGCGCTCACCATTACGGTAGTCCCGGTGCTGTGCTCGTCTAAGCCTCTAGTTCCATTCAGTTGTCAGATATAATGAAACTAGGAAGAACTGGTGTGAAGAAGCTGTGGAAAGAGAAGCGAAATCAAGGCTTTCTGAACACGAATGTTGGAAGAAAAGACTGGAGCACAAGCTTAACTGGAGACCATGGAAACGTGTCCAATGATCAGACCTTTTACTTGCCAACTGTAAATTTTGCCCCCACCCCTTTTCTAAATGACTCAAGTGTCTCATCCAACCTCAAAATGCCTCCATCAAATGAAGGTCGCATCTCTGCCTGAATGGTTAGAACAAACGAGACGAACACGGAGGTGAGATTCCGATCCGGGTTCACCACTCTCAAATGAACACGGTCACGCCTGAAATTCCGAGCTATTATAATCTTCTCTTCCCTTAGGAATTCTTGAACGAACGTAAAATCGCAAAGGAGGAAACAAAAGTTCGTACAGTCTTGTTCGCTGTGCATGCAGGGGCGTGTCGTGGGGAGGGGTAGAGCAAGGTTTGACGAGTGGCCAGCCACCAATTGGTGAAGTAAAGCAAGCGACGAAATTGCAGGAAAAAACGCACTGGCGACCTGCAAAAGCCGTCCCCCTAACCTCTCCTCCCGTAACAAGCCCCGGATCGGCAGCGACCAAGACTGTATGTCCAACTCGAATTCAGTATGTTCAAATTTCCCAGATGATTGAGATAATAAAACTTACTTTTCGAGAACGAGTGAAGAGTTGGTTGCCGCAAATGTTGGTCGCCCACGTGCTCCAACATTTACTTGAAAATAACACTCAGTGCAGAGAGTTGTTAGGAATTCCCTGGAAAGAATTAAAGTTTTGATGTGATGCGAGCCAGTAGAGTTGCGTCAAAAACTATAACCAGACCTTTTTCAGAAAAGCTAAAACAAACGATTTGAGAAAAATGGCAACGATATGCACCCGAAGAGTTCTGTGTGGGTCATCCCAATGGCGACATGGCGCGCAAAGCAGGAGAGTATTTCTTCCTTAATTGATTTGATAAAATGCAGCCAACTGGGCAGGGATGATCAGGGTTTCACCAATACTATCACAGCGGACTAGAACAATGGCCGCAACCTTACACGGGCCTAATCACTATGTACCTGCACTTGGAGACGTGTATCACTATTTTCACTCCTCAAATATGCGACTTTGTAGGGGTCACCCAAGGCCGCGAACCGCTGGTAATGTGTAGCCCATGACCTCCTATCCTCCATTCCTCACTCAATTTATCAACTCGCTCACATTCTGTTCCTTCTCAATCGCCGCGCGGATTTTTCTCGCATGCATCTGACTGCTCTTCCGTAGCCGTAATTGAGTTCTGCGATGTTGATGAGCGAAAGAAGTGACTCGACCGTAAGCTTACCTAGAATCTTGTGGTATTACTGGGCTTGTCACAGGAAGTTGTTCGTTCATCCATTCAAAGTTCCAATCGACCTGAAACGGTAGCTTGATAATAGGCAGCGTTCAGACTTGTCGCGCTTGAACGCGCTTTGATTGTCGCGCATTTATTGTTGCGCTTGAACGCGCGTTGATTGTCGCGCGTTATTGTCGCGCTTGAACACGCTACAATTACAAGCGCGCTCCAATTGTACCAGACCCCAGCTTCCCTTTATGTTCTTTCTTCCGGTATTCAACCCTTTTTCACTGTTTCTCATTTCTACCTGATTCTTAGCAACCCGGAGACTTAATAAGTAGTTAAAGGCGAGAACGGTATACAAAATCATTATCACAGTGTACTTTATCAAAAACTACATTAAAATTCAATGTTCAAATGAAAAAGAGGAGCTGAAGAATCAGGTAGAAAAGAGAAACAGTGAAAAAGGGGTTGAATATTGGAAGAAAGAACATAAAGGGAAGCTGGGTCTGGTACAATTGGAGCGCTTGTAATTGTGGCGTGTTCAAGCGCAGCAACGTGTGTTTAAATGCAATTCCCGCGACCACAGTTCATAGGTAATACAGTTCAAAACTAGAATTGCCTTGTTTTGTTGGCTTATTGAAGAAGAAGAAGGAAGCACGAAAAAGCGCCCGGAATAAGACCCTCTTTATTGCAATTGATCATGATCACCGGACGAGCGTAAGGTGGTCAAGATCAATTGTGAATTGCGAAAGGCGGCGATACACTGATAAGAGACGAGAGAGGCCAGAAAACGACGGGCGAGAGAGCGCAATGGCAGTCTCACAACGACACGGTCACTGGAGGCCGGCATGGGCCTATCGGGCGCAAATGGGCCTAAAACCTGACGCCTGCGTTTTGCTGCTGTTTTTCAACTTTTAAAAGCACTACTTGAGTGCTGCTTGACCATCGGCACCGTAGGCCTCTTAGTTTATCGCGGAACTGCTCACATCCGCGCGCATTTCAGTCCACGACAATCTGACCTCTGTTAGCCATAGGGTCTCACAGCTTTCATGACTTGCCCAAGCAAGCTCTATGGTCCAAAACACATCAGTGGTCTTCCCACCACTCCCTAAAATAAGGTCACTACATTTGAACAGCTGGTATTATGACGTCTATAAGGAGCCGAATAAGCTACGTCCCAATCGAGCTGTCCACCGTGGATCGCAGTGGTTATTCGGAGTTGAGAATAACAGCACTAAACCCCTAGGTGATGTTCAGCAAAGTGACCCCGTTGTTATAACAATACCGCAGTGTCGCGGAGATTCTGCAAGCCGTCACACACATGAACGTCCACAAAATGTTCCATATATAGCCACTTTATTAAATGAGCGACCCCCAGGGTTATGAGTGGATAAAGTTTAGTTCAGTTAGTCTACTTTAGACATTCTGGAATATCTTGTTTATGTTCAAAATCTACTCAAGGGTGCCCTTAGAACTTTTATTGTTTCCGATAGCCGACCACGGTCTACAAGTTGGTTAAGCATTGACACGTGACACAGCTGGGGCTTTAATCCTGAAATTCAGTGGATCGGTTCCTGGATGGGAGAGGGCATCTGTTCATTCTCCTTGGGGGCACTGACGTAAACCATATACCATACGCTGATACACTAATGATACCAGTTCCATCACTCATAGCGCCACTACAAGGAGCGGTTCCTTGCAATCCGGAATTTCCCTGTTAACACTAATGGTAAGAAATTCACGATCGGCAAGAGAAAGAACTGGGCACTGATGTAATCACAGGTATACCGTGGAATATAGAGGACTCATGTGATGCATGAAAGCTGTTTCCTCCGTCACGGTGCCTGGAAATGAGTGCCAAGAAGAGCAGATGAGGTGTACACTGCCCCGGAGCGTGCTCAAGTGCTTCCTTCCTAAGCCGAACAACGCCGAAGTCTATCCTGGAAAGATAACCCTAGGAGTATGATCCACTCCATTGGAAATGGCTAGCCTTACTATCTATAATCACCCACAGATGTCCGCTTGTAGCAGCTATCGTATCGCGTTCTGAGTTTCTGCGGTTCATTTCCACAAGTAGCCAGGATCCGCAGGTCAAAGGAGTAAAGGGTCAACTGTACCATAGTGCCAAATTCTTCCGGAGCGGTGCAAAAGCAAAAATTGTGGCTCTTCCTATCAAGAGAAGACAGAAGTTCTCGAAATTCCCCATTCAGATACACGGTAGCTTCGGCGCCGACACCCTTAGCGTACGTAAAAGATGTTTCCGATACCCAACGGTGACAAGTTTTCAACAAGTCTGGTATTCCGAGATGTTTTGACGGCAGGCGGGCGTGGCGCAGTGGCGCAGACGCCAGGCGCTTTTGAACCGAACGAGCAAATATTCATTTTCAAAGGTTCATACCGTAGGACATCATGCTGGGCAAATCTATCCGCTAATGGTAGAGAACTTTCGAGCAAAAATTGGCCGGAAGATCGACGAATGGGGCAACATAGTAGTGCCACTTTTTTATTACAAATTTTTTACAGCGTAGTACTCCCCATCGCTCATGCGAAACTCTTAGTGCATTTCTCGTCCTTGGTACCTCTATGAAAAACACCTAATACAAGGAATGCCAACCTGTTCCAGTAGCTCATTGACGATACCGTCTTCGATCCACACAGTAACGACGTCGTTGCCGTTCAGTTCAACTTCGAGGAGGGTTGTATTAACCGAGTCTTCCAATAGCGACACCACAGGAGTTTCTGCCTAAACAAAGAGTTTTGTTAAATTATTGGGCCTCAGTTCTCACTCCTAGGATCTAAATGATACAGAATGCTGATCTGCGGTTAATTTTATAAAATTGAAATGACCGAAATATTTTCATTAAAACTCCCTCGTCTACTACGATATGATCTTGCTCACGAAAATCCTCTGAAAGTTGGAGAATTTCGAATACAGTTTTCGGCACCACCTGTCACTCCACCACCTCCGTCTCAGAATGTCACGATTGACACAAAAACTCGTTCTGCCTTCGAGTCAGGCAAAACGAAGTTCATTACGCGAAAAAAGCTGGAAGAAGGAACGCACGATAACCCTGCTCCCAGGAGGCAGTGGTCTTGGGTTGTTGTATCACTATTGTAGGTTTTTGAATAAATTCTTTTCAACTAAAACAACATCAACACTCAGCAAAAGCATCTTTGAGGAAAATTGCGCACTCTCGGATCTTGTATTTGCCATGTGGTGTCTCGCAGCTGCAGTAGCATGCCGTTCTCGTTCACGGGCAGAGCATGGAACGGGGTTGGAGGATGGCGAAGCCGGGTGCCTTTGACGAAACTTCGCGCGTGTCGTAGGACCGGCCACATATGTACCTAACCATCGCGAAAAGAATTACTTGCTGCGTTCTCTCACTTCTGGCCGTTTTGTTCCACTGAGGATCTTGACATCGACGCAATTGCTGCACCTCGATGATGCGTGGGCGGAGTCGGGAGACGGGACTGGGCATTAAGTGCCCTCCAGCCCCGTTTCCACCCACTTTTGAGTATAAGGAGCGCCACACTACCGCAGCTTCGGACCAATTCAGCTCGCACATATGTAGCAAGGAGCGCCCTCGCAGGTGAGTTTATAAATCGTCTTTGGGTGATGATCAGGAGTCATGTTCACCATCGACTTCTATAAGTGCTTTCCAGTTTCGTAGTGATCTGTCGATAATCAAGTGGAGAAAACCCAAGCAAGTGTCGCTGAAAGCCATGCAGTAGCTGCTGTTACCTGGTGCCGGCCGCCGGTAAGTGGTAAACGATTTCTATTCACTTATTTATTCATTTATTTATCTACTCGAAGATAAACTGCACCCTCACCTGCAGGAAGCGTTTTTCCCATGTGCGGGAAAGAACTGATTGACAGCTGTACAAAAGTAGCACTTTCATCACTTCACGAAAGCGCGCGGCAATGAGGCTGGAAGGTGATGTCACCCAGGACCGTTTCCATAATCCGCCCGCGCTATCCTCAAGGTGCAGCGCTTGCTTCGATACCAAAATCCCACAGAGAACTTACGCTTAGAAGTAAAGAATAACCAGTTTAGGAAGACGCAGACAAGCAGCGCGTTTGGCTATGGCTAGGAGTACGGCCGGCCGTGCGGTAGCGCGGGTGGAGTTGGGAGACGGCACACGGGTATTACTATCTTCAGCCCAGATCCCGTACACTTTTGAGCGGGGAAGAGGCACGCCACTGCAGCTGCGGACCCATGGCAAGGACTAGAGTTCACGAAGGGAACAGTTCATTATTTTCTTCTATGCGCTAGAGAGAGTGCCGAGTTTATGAAATGCACAAATCTACAGAACGGTGAATGATAATCTCCTAAAATATCTTAGTCACATTCTTGTTAACTACAGAAGATTATTTGTACGTGAAATAGAAATAGTTTCCATAACCCATATATTACCATTATATATTACTATATTACTCTAAATTCATGTTGAAAACACGAAAAAGAAAAGAAAAACGGAAAAAGGCAGTCACGACGATGAGACAGTGGACTTTCAGATGAGCGTTTACTTCGCTGGTTTTATCAGACCGCAATCTGAATGCAGGGTACAGCATCGTTGTGTGAAACACATGGGGCGGTCGTACTTGGCCGCTGGGGAAGGGAGTGCCTTTGAGAGAAATTTGCTGAGTTAGGAGAGAATTTCTCGGTTGCTGACTTCTTTTCGCGGTTTTTCCCTTTTCACAATGTGCCTCCCCCCTCCCCGCATGATGGAAAATTTTTGGGTGAAAACTGGAAAATGTGGGAAATTTTGGAAAAACTGGTAGGAAGCTGGGAACTTGTAGGAAAGTGGTAGGTAGGTGTTGGGGAAGGGGGGGTCGTACCGAGACCCTCCCTCGGGGTCGTACTGACGCTAACACATCACGATGCCGTACCCTGCCTGAATATTTGACTAGACCCACAACTCAAACGGTTACATATGTGTAGTGTAGCCCAACTGTAGCGGCAAAAAAGAACAGTCCACCAAAAAAAAATTCGCTTGAGGCCCAATATGTTGCTTTACTCTCACCAGGAAAGGTCAACAGGTCAGCCTGGATATTTGCAACGTGGTGCACATCGTTTACTCGCCTTGAGACGATGAGCTCCAAACTATCTTCAAAATTTGTGGAACGATTCCCTGAGCGGAATTATGGAGGTTTTTCTCTACTGTTTCCTTTCTTCAAGATGCGCTGGCGCCCCGAGGCGTTCACATGCTACGCCGACTCACAACGCTCTTCGCGCAAAACAGGTATCATATTCGTGTTCAGGGGGTCAAATAACCCCTAGGGACGTCACCTTAGCGAAATCTGAGGTTCTGACTCAACTTCGAAAAAATGGGGTATGGATAGTCATGGCTGACTGATAGCTAACAGCGATACTATGACTAGCATACTGGTGATGACTGGTCTAACTCTTCAGTCATGTTTTTCGCAAACAACAGTACCTGGCTTACTTATTTGTGCCGTCTGCATCATTTTCTTGACTATCGGGAGGAAATCCCATTCCGAGACCAGTCATCGATGGTAGGTGAGCTCCAATCTGCTGCTAATTACCCATGGAATAGCCCACATTTTCCAAGTGAGGTCACATCAGATTCGGCTAGAAACTTGTCCCCAGGGGTAATTTGACCCGCTGAACATGAATATCATGGTATTTCATTGCAAAACCCTTGTGACATGTGTTACGAGGGGGACAAGCACAAGCACTCTTTCAGGCCACAGTGGGTCTACACTTTCGAAAAAAAATTGATTCCCTTACAGGCTAATGCAGGCGAGCAAAGATGTCAGGAGCTTTGTCAGCCATGCTGTTGAAAAATGCAAAAACAGGCTGCTCCACGGGAACCGATCCCACGAACACAGGAGTAAAACCCTCCATAACTCCGTTCAGAGAATCGTTCCGCAACATCTGGAGGAAGATTTGAGTGCACCTTCTAAAGACGTGTACAACGGTGTGCACCTCATTGGAAATGTCCAGGCTGACCTGTTGGCCTTTCCCGGTTAGCATCGATATGGGGCTCTTGATGTGGATTCACAATGACGCTATTGGCCCTTTTCTTATCACTGTGGGGCTAATTGTTTGCAACTCACCCTCTAGAACGAAAGCAATCGAGCGAACTTTGAAGGAAGTTGGCAGATAAATCTCCAAGACTAGCAGGATACAGATTTCGGCGTCCCTAAGCAAGAGCTGTGTGGCGCTATTTCCAAAGAACGTGCCCTTATAGCGCTTCGTGAGGCTGCATCATACCGACCCGGACGCCTACCGCGCCCGCCTGCCCACAAATGGACGACC